CAAAAGTTTATTTCGTTAGTAACTAATGCACACAATAAACAAGCAAATAATGTGATTGAATAAGTGAAAGTTCAACCAAGAAAGAAAATAACTAACAAATTACTCTAACTACTGACATTAAATATATGTATTGAAAGAACATTTGGGACAATCTAATAAATATCAATGTTGAGAATATTGACTTAGGGTATAAATATTAATATTTGACTGTCTAGTTTCTAACAATTAATCATTTGCACTCGAATGTCGACTTTGGAACACCATTAAGAATTGCTCTATCATTTTTTAAAGTAATTTTTACATTATTAACTAGTTGGCTATTGCAATCTCTTTGAAAAATCTATGGGTTATTGTAATTGTACTGTACATGTCTGATTTTCTTAATGTTTTGTTTGAATACAACACTTTTATAAAATATATAATTCAAAAATGAATATCAAAGTATACAGAGTCCGGTCGAATAACATGAACAAGCGGGTACCACGTGATATTTTATAAAAAACTAAGAAGAAAATAAAAAATAAAATTCTTTTATTTGAGGCTTCGTTTCCGAGAAAATTGAGTTTGAAAATTCATTATATTCGAATGCTCTTTCCATCAAGCTATTATTCGTTAAACATTCGAATATAATGGATTTTCAAACTTAATTTTCTCGAAAACAAAGCATCAAATAAAAGAATTTTATTCTTTACTTTCTTCTTAGCTTTTTATAAGATATCACGTGATGCCCACTTGTACATGTTATTCGGCCAGATTCTGTATATCCTCTTGAACAAGTTAGCTGTTTTTTTGACGAATATGTTCACCATAAATAAATGGCAACATTTTGCGTTATAACGTCAAAAACAGCTAACTGGTTAAATTGTTTTATATTTACAGATTTGTTAAAAATCTAAGTATTGTACAAAAAAGGAAGCTTAATTTCATATGCATGCAGTACAAACATAATACAATATCTTAGTTTTGAAGTTAAAATAGCTTCGAGGGCAAAGGGTTAATTTAAACTGTAAATCTTTCATTAAAGTCTATAGAAAGACTATTTAGAAGAAGTCCCTTAAAAAGTACATTGAAAAAATGTTAGATCAAGTGTCAAATACAGTATTTGCCTTTGGTTTATTTTCGGGCACAATTAACTTTATATTTATTGAGTAAGACATACTCAATTTCTTTATCTTCCTATTTTGTTTATTTTTGAACAAAAAAAAAGATATAATATCTCTTATTCAATAAATACAACGTTAATTATGCCTGAAAACAAACCAAAGGCACAGCAATTGGGCACCACACAGTAACCAGCTCAAGTACCCTGATCATCGAAGTTGGCTATTGCAGTCCCCGTTTTCCAAAAATTATCGTATCAAAACATATGCGTGAATTTATTCATCTATTTGCACCCTCGCACGCGTGAAAGCCCTATTTAACGCGAATATTCGTTCGACCAGACGGGCTCAAATGAAACTGGGAAGCCTTTTTTCGACGCATCGAAGGAGACCGCTCGCCGACGGCTTTGATTAATCGCAGACAGAAAAAACGCGAACACGTTGGCACAGATAATTGCACGTGTCCGTGTCCTCCTTAGATTATCCGCTAACAACTGGCATAGTTAATATTGGTCTTCCCGTTGTCGCTCACTTATGGAGCCACCGTGAAAGGCAGAGTCGAACGGGTTTTATTGTTCGGAGAACGGCCGTCGTTACATTTCCGTTTTATAATATGTTCTCTCGCGTATCATTATCACGACGCCGATGAAAAAAGTTGCAGTCCGTGCCGCGCCTATTCTTCGTTTGCAACGCGCACTTGATAATCGGCTCTGATCAGCTCGCGGAAAAAATTCTTTTGACGCGACGGAAACAGAGGGGACGAGAATACTTTGAGCATTGTAACCGAAATAATTCGTTCCCAGGTGCAGAACGTAATTCCGCCGCGCGCATACGTTGAAGCACGTTACAATGCTCCAAATTAATTTCTCGAAACTCAATAACGGTCGGCCCCCGTATAGAAAGGGGGGAGAGAGCGAAAAAAAATGTGCAAAAGAAATGTTTTCCATCGAACAAGAGTTAAAGTCTCTTTCAGTCGCCTAGTAAACGTAATTTACGAACTCTGAGTAAAAGCGGTGGCCGTTGAGCGATGAACAGCCGCGATTGGTCAGGCAGTAGGCCGCCATGATGGCAAAACTAAAATTGGATCGGGGCTAATGGTCAAAATTGGCTTAAACTGGGATGGCCCTGATGACCTTTCAGCGGCGCTCCTGTTGTTAAAAGCTTCGTTATCGTACACCTTTTCGTTCCCTCTCACTTTCGCCCGTTCCAGACGAAACTTTGATAATACCGAGATCCCATCGTAGGAAACTTTTTATTCCTAGCGGCGTATCGACTAATCTAAATCACTGGTTAGCTGCTGAGCACCCTTTCGATGCCTCAACACCGCGTCGCGCATAGCAGACTTTTTCATTGCCCGACGAACTGCCGCGCCGATTCGTTAATCTATCAGAAAATCATTTCGATCTTCCTCGAACCTTGATCTATACTATTAATCTTCTCACGGTGTTCATAAAAACGCTAATCGTGTTCCGGTCACATATACACGCTTCAAGAAATAATTGCATGTCTTTGGGAACTGCGATATAATGCAATGCTTATTATATGGAAGAATGAAGTAATTAATATGAAAATACAAAAGAAAATTTCCAACAGAATCAAAATTATGAAAATGCAAACAAAATTTATGTGCAGAATTAAAATTATGAAAATACAAAGGACACTGATTTGCAAAATTAAAATGATATTTGTAGAACTCAAATTATGAAAACATAAAAGTAATTTATTGGTAGAATTAAGATTATGAAGAAATTGATTTGCAGAACTCAAAAAGTTTGACCACAATAAGATGGTAATAAAAAAAATTGATATAGGTCCAATATACGGGCTGGATCGTCATGAATCCGAAATATCATAAAAAAGTTTATGTAGAGAAAAATGGAATGTATTAGGTTGCCCTAAAAGTTCGTTTTCTTTATTACTAAAGCACACGGTGCGATTTCATGATAATTTTTAGTCGAGTATGCAGCACGATTAATCAAATGAAAGTTTAGGGAATGAAGACACGTTAATAACAACATGAGTTTTTATATGCTCACGTTGATTAATAATATCATGTACACATATTATGAAAAGCACTTTTTGGATAAACTAATATTGAAGACCGTGAATTCGGATTGAAAATATCTTCGTTTTGCAGTTGAAGATTCTAATGAATTGGACCATCTTTGCTGATAATGATTATTAGAAATGTGATTAGTAGCAGGAATCATTTTGGTGACTAAAAGAAGATGGATACTGAAAGTGTGCAGTTTTCACTAATTTAAATAAAAATTGTCGCCACAAAAGTAGCCTTCTCTCTTATATTAATAACCTTCTTTCAGATATTTCAAACACAATTCAAGTCTTAGATACGATGAAAAATATAAGATGGAAATGTCGTTTATACTATAAATTGCGTTAATGAAATCATTAAGTCATATTATAACGGTAATTTTTTCCAGACCCTTGGCGACGTTCATTAGCATATGTTTCGTTTATATTGTTATATTGGTAATTATTCGTGATCATTTATATATCCACACAGATAATAAATTTCTATTGAATAGGAAATATTCGTTTTCTTTCAAACTACAACGAAACGTCAGATTAGACCAAATTTCAATTTTATTTTCATGTTTGTAGAAAATAAGCGTGCGATTTTATTTTGAGTGTTTTCGAAGAATAAGCGACCGAGCACTTCGTACCGGTGTTTATCATCAGCTTTATCATTCGATTCTTACAGGTTTCGTGTCGTTCGACAATCCAGGGAGCGCGCAGCAGGCAATTCAATCAATGAATGGCTTCCAGATAGGGATGAAACGTTTAAAAGTCCAGTTAAAGAGGCCCAAGGACGCAAGCCGGCCATACTAACCAAAGTCCTAGCTTAGAGAAACTGGACGATATGCACCGTACATCATAACTTACAGAGTACGTTCCAACAATTCTTCGTACACACGATATACAATATTAATATATTTATATCGATTTGTCAATACAAAACACGATGCGACAATTTAAGCTTGTTATATTAAAACCATAAAAATATTTTAGGTAAATATTTAGGTATGTTATTCAATCTGTTTTAACGTCGCACAATTTTTTCGTCGAAAAATAAATATCATATGTTTCTATTTATTTTACTATCGAAGCATTTAATTCATTTCAAATAATCTCTCAAATATTTTGCAAAAAATATCAGATTTCATGTTTCAACATCGAGAAATACTCATTGAGAAATTTTCTGCTCGGATTTCATTTGATGAGCCTGAACTAATCAACGCGTTTATTTCGCACCATTAAGCTATTCGTACGCAACGAACACATTTTAGTCAATTATTATGTGCTTCGTTAATTTTACGCACAAAAGACTTAATTATTGGTTTATTCGAAGAGGTGGTGTTAGTTTCTAAGTGAAGATATCTTGTTTATATTAACAATATTTTCAATAATGACTAAACTGCGGATATTCATGAATTTATGCCAACGAATTACAAACACCAATGTAGGAAACATAACGAATTTTAAGGTATAGATGAATTTAACATTGTCTTTACTGTTACGTAATTACATCAAAATAATTGCCAAAGAAAATAATCTCTTTTTCAACATGAATCTAACTCGTACATTTTCAATATACTTAAAACGAGAAGTATCACAATTAACCTCTAATTTACAAAACAGTAAAACTCTGACATTGAAAACAGATATAATAAAATACTTTAAAACTTATAAAAATATACACGAGTGTCTATAAAGATATAGAAGAATATTTAGTCTTTAACAATACAGAATTTCTCAATCTATACAAAATATTAAACTTAGACTGATTGGCTTTGTGAACTAACACCTGATATATATATATAAGATAGATTATTAACAATAAATTAAAAAATTTCTATGACACACCGTTGTACCTTTACAATAAAATCTTGCTTGGCGAAACCTCTGATATAAGAATTTATTATTATTGGCTTGTTGCTAAAGTAACATCGCTTTCTTATAAGCTATTTATTTGCAAACCCGAAATTACTTTTGCAACAACCCAATATATAAACACATTATACATAGAAATAGATCAGTCTATAAAAAAGTGATCTACTTACAACATTATTTATTATATAAATGAATATTTAATCTAATCTCTTCAGTATGTGTGTCTATTCTGTTATCAAAGAATTCATGTTTTCTTGCCTGATAATCGAAGTTTTACTGTAGTTCGACAAATATTAACTCTAAAACGACCTCCTGGAATTGCCGGCAACCCCACAAATTTTTCATTTGTCTGCAAATGTGTAAATAAATTCTAAAGCATTGAGATTATATAACCTATTATATATAAATATATAATATTAATATAATTATTACATTATATTATACATTAATATTTTATATTAGTTAATGTAAACATTAATATACACTATTATACATTAATATTTTATATTAGTTAATATAAATATTAATCTATAATATTATACATTAATATTATATATTGGTATTTATATTACAACGAAACCCCATAATGTTACTTATGTCGAAAAATAGAAAGGGGTCGTTCTAGGGCATATAAACATGAGAATTACTACATCCTCGGGCAGAATCGATGAAACTAATAAGCACGAAACCTTTCTGATTGCAGATGTCGTACAAGAACACGGGCTCATTGAACGCTCGACGATCAGAAGTGACGAGTTTGAATCGCCGTTACAACGCTCTCCACTATAATAACCTAGTACACTAGTTAGACAATTAATTAGAGGATAAAAATTAGGAGTCAGAGTAAAGCGACTTCGCCTGCAGTCACACGGCGAGAACGAAGAGGCTGATGCTAGAACATCGGATGTCCAGAGCTGAACTCAGTACGAAAGATACCAAGAAACGAGTACGATGCACGCTTCCACGCTCTCGAATGTTCAGACGAACCGGATTGTTCCCTAGGAACGGTGTCGCTATCTTCGCGGTCCTATTCGCGGCCAGGATATCCCATAATCCCCCGCTGACCCTTTCTACGCCCTTGTCCCCCCTCATTCTCGAAGCGTACTGCCAAATATGAACAGTATCGAACGAATGGCCCCCCATCTACAAACCTAGAAGAAAAACGTCCTAGCGCGCGACTCCGAGGTCTGATCATTCGTGAAGCCTAGCCGAGAGCCTGTTGTCTCTCGTTCAGATTATCATTCCGATGACACGTTAAGTCCTAGTTTAATATAATTGTATAACGTTCAAGACGGGTGACCTTCCACTAATCACTGATGAAGAACACTCTTAGTTCCTGAGAACAGCGGCGCGGCCGTTGAAAAGTTAACTATTACGGTCCGAGTTAGAGCTGATGGGGCAATAGCTCTTCGGACCCGTGGGAAAAAGAAAAACGAATTCAGTTTACGGGCAACTTCGCTGAGCTTTCATTTCCGAATCATAGGAAGCAAACCAACGTTGACTCTAGTAGAATTCCACGCAGCTTTAGGGTCTAGGTACGCGCGATCGCTGTTACGCGATATTCGACATAGAGCGACGTCATTAGGATCGTCGTCCAGGGTCGGGCGGCCTTCTGGTCAAAGCCGACGACGCGCAGTATTCGCAGTCTCTCCTAACGCAAACTTGTCAATCACATATACAGGGTGCTCGTCTTACGCAACGTCTAAAAATGGAAAAAGAGAAAACTTTCTAAAACGAACGAAACTACGTATGAGAACAATGAAAACACGTTCTACCTGCATACACTTACGGAATCGGGCGCTCCCGCGCACGATTTGTAGTCACACAATATACGTACTCATGTGACAACATGGAATCAGTGCCGAACCGACGTTCGTGGGTTATCGGTTCTTCTTACTTATATATATTCTTATATATTACTTATATATTCTTTTTTTATATATGATATTTAAAAAAGAATCGCCAGTGCCGTGTCAAAGCGAAGTTATCTTGAAGTCCGGTCGTCCACGTCACAGCGCTCGTTTTCCATGTATAGAATCTTGTATTATTATGGTTGCCCCTCATATTGCCATCGCCATCTCGTCATTACGATTACGATCACGATAATCGATCGCCCGTTCGTCGCTAACGCGTGAAGTCAGCGTGCGATTATGCCGGCCGTTGGTTTCATTTCGAAACGAAGGATCATCGAACCAGGATCGCGACGCTTCGCGATCGATTGGGGATCGGGGTCCCGTTGTTGCTTCCCGGTCTCCGTGGCTCGATCACCCATCAAAATCGTTCACGTTTTAATTGACTAGACACGCATCGCCCGAGAAATGTCAATTAGGCTGTGATTATCCAAACAAACGAACACGGGGGTAGGAAGAAGGCGAAAATGCCGGCGACATTGGTAAAGAGTCCTTCTTAACGCGCGAAGAAGCGGATGATCATCTGGGACCGGTTCGGTGCATATATCATTTGCTTTCCTAGAACTTTGCTTGCCTAGTCGGAGAGTCTAGTCATTTTTTGTACATTACTTGCCGAGTATTCTAACGTATTTATTTATTTGTTGTTCCGTTTCGCGAATCGCGCGGATGCAAGAAAACGCTTTCATCGATTAAGTAGCGATTCGAAGTCGAAGTACTTGAACATTACACGGGGACAATTGAATTCTAGTCGAAGGAAATGCGATTTTCTCTTTCGGTGTCAACTTACGATTAACTGTTTATTTATTGTTCGAACGTTCTCGCGGGTTTCTCGAATTATACTCGCGAGTTTACTGTTGCGAGCGTTACGATCTAGTCGTCTGCCAGCGAGCAGCTTATACGTTTAAGTGTATTGTTCCTTGTTTGTTTTTGTTGACTTGTTCGTGCAATAGAGGTCTAGAGGGGACCGCCGAGATCCCATCCAGAGCAAACAGATGCAAGCCGAGCGAAACGCATTTCGCGCTTTAACTGGCACGAGATCACGGAATTTTTGCCTGCCGCTCGAATGGCGAATAGTGCTCACCCGATGATCGAGCGCTTTTCCTTAGCACGATAAATAAAACATTCAGACATTTAACGAGCGGTGCCCTGTCGAATCACGTAGTTTCGATGCGAGTGACGATCGCGGACAAAAGTCGGATATAAATGGGACAGCGCTGAAAAGAGAGAAAGAGAAATAGATGAAGAGAGGAAGTTAGAGATGTAGGGGGGATGAATGGGGGTTATTAAATGAAAAAAAATATACTAAAACGAAACCAAATACATTGCGTACGGTAGAGAAACTAGCGTAGGCGAGCGATGGAACGGAGAGGAAAAACTCTGATCTAGCAAAAATAATCAACCAAAGTACCAACAACTATTCTATATAAATATTTAAATATGAATTATTGAAGAAGAAGTATATAAATATATAAATATATATAAATATAAATACTATAAATATGAAATATAATATAAATGAAATGAATATACACTATATTCAAAGAAATGAATATATGTATATATGTATGTATGCATACATTATCAATATATACATGTATTGATTAAAGGGAAAACTAGAAACTTAGTAAATTATTATGATTTAGGCGAATTAACAGAGGAGATGAGAGGAATTACTACTTCGGGAAACTGAGAAGGACCGCCTCTAGTCTGGCGCAGTTTATGACGCAAACTATAAAAGCTATCGTAAATTTATACGCTACTCACATGAATATAATGATTGCTACACACGCGTATACACATAAGTACACGAAATATATTCGTGCATAAGCGTACGCGTGTACATGTGCGTATGTTCATATATGTTCTCTGTATATTTATGTATTCACATGTACGTTCGTATGCAGTGTACTTGTATATCAGGGCCAGGCAACCCTTTTCCTTGGATAGAAGCTGTCCGACTGCTACGAGGGCATCGATCTAATTCTTCAGGCAGGAAACTCAATTTCCTTTACAAATTCGAAATCCGATCAGCGGTGCGACGCGTGATTCAACTGCTTGCACTCTATGGGAATTAGTAAAATTAGTTTTTTTATCGTAATTAAACTTGAACTGCGATCACGCGCGACGCGTGATTTAACTCGTTGCACCTTATGGAAATTAGTAGAATTCATTTCTGGATGAAATTAAATTTGAATTGCAATCACGGGCGTCGATCCTGAAGAATGTAACGTGTTTCGAATTGACGTGAGATCATCCCAAACTGAAGAACTTATTCGAATCCTCGAGTTTCTCTCACAGATCGTCTCTCCGTTTTCTCAATTTGAATCATTCGGAAATTTAACGAATCCAAGGTAAATTGGAACGTCGTTAATTTTGTACCCCAAAAAATTACCGCGAGTGCTACAGAATTAGCGGTCCCGTTGCAAACTGAGAGATGATCGAATGGTTATCCGGTCATGAATCAGTTGTCTGCTCGCACACATACATACATATATACACGAACACACTCGTACATATGGATCATGCCAGCACTATTGTAATTTAACTTATACATACACACACACACACACACAGAGACACACACACACACACTCAGAAACTACTACAGCGTTAATAGAAATAAGTTCGAGGTGGGGTGTGCTATAAATTCCTCTCCTCTAACAAGCTCGTATGGCTTGCTAATTATTGATGATATAAAACACTATTATATTATATGAGAAATCAATTAATACTAATAACTAATTTATAATAATACCAACAACACTAATAATAATAATAATAATAATAATAATAATAATAATAATAATAATATTAATAACGATGATTTGAANGGGGGATGAATGGGGGTTATTAAATGAAAAAAAATATACTAAAACGAAACCAAATACATTGCGTACGGTAGAGAAACTAGCGTAGGCGAGCGATGGAACGGAGAGGAAAAACTCTGATCTAGCAAAAATAATCAACCAAAGTACCAACAACTATTCTATATAAATATTTAAATATGAATTATTGAAGAAGAAGTATATAAATATATAAATATATATAAATATAAATACTATAAATATGAAATATAATATAAATGAAATGAATATACACTATATTCAAAGAAATGAATATATGTATATATGTATGTATGCATACATTATCAATATATACATGTATTGATTAAAGGGAAAACTAGAAACTTAGTAAATTATTATGATTTAGGCGAATTAACAGAGGAGATGAGAGGAATTACTACTTCGGGAAACTGAGAAGGACCGCCTCTAGTCTGGCGCAGTTTATGACGCAAACTATAAAAGCTATCGTAAATTTATACGCTACTCACATGAATATAATGATTGCTACACACGCGTATACACATAAGTACACGAAATATATTCGTGCATAAGCGTACGCGTGTACATGTGCGTATGTTCATATATGTTCTCTGTATATTTATGTATTCACATGTACGTTCGTATGCAGTGTACTTGTATATCAGGGCCAGGCAACCCTTTTCCTTGGATAGAAGCTGTCCGACTGCTACGAGGGCATCGATCTAATTCTTCAGGCAGGAAACTCAATTTCCTTTACAAATTCGAAATCCGATCAGCGGTGCGACGCGTGATTCAACTGCTTGCACTCTATGGGAATTAGTAAAATTAGTTTTTTTATCGTAATTAAACTTGAACTGCGATCACGCGCGACGCGTGATTTAACTCGTTGCACCTTATGGAAATTAGTAGAATTCATTTCTGGATGAAATTAAATTTGAATTGCAATCACGGGCGTCGATCCTGAAGAATGTAACGTGTTTCGAATTGACGTGAGATCATCCCAAACTGAAGAACTTATTCGAATCCTCGAGTTTCTCTCACAGATCGTCTCTCCGTTTTCTCAATTTGAATCATTCGGAAATTTAACGAATCCAAGGTAAATTGGAACGTCGTTAATTTTGTACCCCAAAAAATTACCGCGAGTGCTACAGAATTAGCGGTCCCGTTGCAAACTGAGAGATGATCGAATGGTTATCCGGTCATGAATCAGTTGTCTGCTCGCACACATACATACATATATACACGAACACACTCGTACATATGGATCATGCCAGCACTATTGTAATTTAACTTATACATACACACACACACACACACAGAGACACACACACACACACTCAGAAACTACTACAGCGTTAATAGAAATAAGTTCGAGGTGGGGTGTGCTATAAATTCCTCTCCTCTAACAAGCTCGTATGGCTTGCTAATTATTGATGATATAAAACACTATTATATTATATGAGAAATCAATTAATACTAATAACTAATTTATAATAATACCAACAACACTAATAATAATAATAATAATAATAATAATAATAATAATAATAATAATATTAATAACGATGATTTGAATAATAATATTAATAAAAATAATAATTATAATAATAATAATAATAATAATAATAACGATACATCATGATACGTACACATAATTTATACTACACGGTAAACATATATATATATATATATATATACATACATATATATATTCTTGTTATGTTAAGACGCTAAACTTGATTCTACGTATGCATACGCTCGTGTACAATTGAATTTACACATGCACGCGCGTATGCATGGGTAACACGGACACCGATGTATCGAGAACGCGAGCATAAGTTCGCGACATTCGAACAGCTAGAATTCTACTCCGACGACCTCGTTGAACGCGAGAGAAAGAATCTTTGCCACGTTGTACCTGCGCGGGTCCGAGTAAACGCATGTCGTCGATCGAATATCCGGCAACCGAACGCCTCGGGATCATGCGTCGAGAAAAACAAAACTCGCGATTCGATTCGACAAAACCCGGAGACGATGAAGTGGAAGAAGAAGAAGAAGAAGAAGAAGAAGAAGAAGATGGCGAAGAAAAGCGTAGAGAATGCGGAAGATAACGAAAAAGCGTGGGCGTGAAATTGGCCAGAGTTAAGGACGATCAAAATGAACAAAAACACGTGAAAAAGATGAAATTCGCGAGCGAACACTGTACGACCTTGGTATTAACGCGATCGCGTGTTTGCTGATCGGGGAGTGCAATCACGGTGCATAAGAGCAATCGCGATCCGAAACCGTGAGCACACGCAAACACGGACCCGGCCGTAGCGGACGCGAGCGCAAACATAATTAGGAGACACGTGCGCCGCGATCGCGTGTCTACCTTTGCCCGCCTGATGCACTACGTGCACAGCCTGCGAAAGGGTATCTCGGAGGCATGATGATCCTTGCCTGCGGATCAGCGTTTCGTTCTCCGCGTGCAGATCGATCCACGGTACACGTCCGGCAAAGACGATTCAGCGGATTAGACTCGGCCAGGCGTCCATGCTCCGCGGACCGTTGATCCAGATTCGAACCGCCGCGTTTTCGTTCTCGCGGTGGCAGCTGCTCGCGTAATCGGCGCCGATTGCGCGACCACGATGCGATTGATCGAGGCGACGATCAACGAGTCCCAGGGGATTCTAGTCACCTTGCTTTTTGGCTTCGCGGCGGCGACCGAGAAGCGCGCGTGGCGTTTCTCGGCGACTGCCGCGAACGTCTCTCCCATTTACACGCGTCATGTACATTTTCACTTGCGGTTTCGTGTGACTCGATCGACACCGTTCGGATCTCGTTGTTGTTCCGTTTAGTTTTTCCGTGGAACGTCGTATCGGTTCTGCGTCAGCCATTTCGATGTCACTCGCGCGATCAGTTTCAGGCGATCCGATTTGGTTTCCAATGAAAAGAAAAAAAAAGAAAGAAGATGACCGCTATGCAAACTGTACGAAAGGATTTTTTTGGCGAGGGATCGTTTGGCCGCCGAAGTAATCACACAGAGAAACACAAAAACACACGGCCACGTACACGGCAACACACGCACGCACATGGGTACGCATACTTAGATCGATGCGCCGTACACTTGGAAGAACAGAGACACGAGCATAAAAGAGTCAAGAATCGATGATATCACTATGATCTAAGCTTTTTAATGTGTAACAGTACTAATAGCGAATATCATGGAGCACGATTACCCTAACGGATAACTATAAAATTCATAATAAATATGAATGTATACATATATAAATATTAAATGCGACGGTAACGACGATCGTAAACAAACCAAAAAGAACAAAAAATACAACTATTTTATCCAACAAAGTTTTTGCTACGGATGAGGTAGTACGCATCTTAACTACGGAAGATGAGAGGAGACTTAAGGGAGGAAGAGGGCATAAGTATTGTTAGCTCTAAGGAGATGAAAGAGGTAATATTAACGAACGAACGAA